GCCCAAAATGAGCATCCATCTGAAATCCCTGGCATCCATGAGTCTAAGTTTTATAGTCAAAATAGTTTAAGCAGTATTTTATATATTCATGTATGAATTCCCCCTTCCCTATATTCTTCTTTGAAAGGGCTTCATAGGACACACTTTCCTCCAGACCTATACAATCTCAGGTTGTTGCTAAAGGCCGCTGGGGCACCATGTGTTAAAGCTGGCAGCTGGAGTCTCCTGAGAATCCATTTGTCTTTCCTGGACTCACTCAGTGCTTGGCCTGGGTCTATGAAAAGCATGGCTTCTGCAGAAATCACAGCAGAAAGGTCCAGAGTCTGCTAAACCTCGTGCGTCTTATGGTTGTAGAAGTGGAATCTCTATGGTCTCACCAGCGCTGCATCAAGCAACAAGTCAGATGTGCTGGATCTGAAATTTATTCAATCATTGAGTAAGTTTTGGGCATTTACAAGATTAACGCCATTCCAGAGGCCCAAAACCTACACTTGAAAGGCTACCCCAGCTTTGTCCCTTCTTACCACACCTCCAGTCATCCAGTCTTCCTCTCTCGATTCCAAGGTTCGCTGCTATCCAGCTTTTCCTTTTTACCCTTTTGCTGGGTGATGCTGAGTAAATCACAGAAAATATCTGTAAAAACGAGAAGGGATGGTGGCATTGGGGCTAAACTTCAGTATGTTCCTCAGCAAACCCAAAGAGATGTTTCCAAGTCACTAAGAAGATAAAAGACTCTCATCCCATACCCTGTAAAGAAAAATGTTTTCCTCATAACATCCTATGACAAAACACACAAAAAGTATGTCAAGAGGAAAAAGGATTTTCCAGGACATGATGAAATAATTTCTGGTTTAAAATAATCATGGTATTTCTGACATAGGAGTAGCTTCATGTCCTTTGAACAGTGAAATTACAACAGCCATAAATGCACTGTGCAGAAAAATATTCGAGTGCAACTATAATTATAGAGAAATTAGTGAATTGCACATTTTTAAAGAACACAGCACACACAGGACAAGCATCACCCTGTTGGGTACCACACCTGTGGCTGACAGTATATAAACCCAGCTCTCCACAGGGCGACATTCAAACTCAGAATCCTCCCTGTTGCATCCAGCTGAGCTCATCACATCTCCTCTCAATATGGCCCACAGCTGCTGCTCTGCAAACTTCTCCTCCCGCTCCCTCAGGAGCTGCCTGCCCTCCTCAGGTTCCTCCTGTGGCTCTTCCTACCCCAGCAACCTGGTCTACACCACCAGCAGCTGCTCTCCCAGCACCTGCCAGCTGGGCTCCTCTCTCAACAGTGGCTGTGAGGAGACCTGCATTGAGCCCACCAGCTGCCAGAGGTCCTGTGTGGAGTCCAGCCCCTGCCAGACAGCCTGCTACTACCCCAGGAGCTTCACACCTTGCAGTCCCTGCCAGGGGACATATGTTGGGCCCCTGGGCTTTGGGCCCAGCAGCTTCCATTCCCTAGATTGTGGATCTAGAGGGTGCTACATAGTGGGTTGTGGGCCCAGCGACTTCGAATCTCTGTATTTCGGAGTCTCTGGCTTCCCTTTCCAGAGATATGGGCCCAGATTCTGCCTTTCACCCCACCTTCCTGTTAGTACCTGTCAAGCTGGTTATAAACCAATCTGTGGTAACACCCTCTATGGAGTCTGCTACTGAGTCCCTTCATGCACTATGGCTGTGCTCGGCAGCCATCATTTTTTGCTAACTCTCTTCTGCTGACTGTTAATTCCTCATCACTGGCTTCTTTCATTCTCAATTTCTGGGAGATTCTGTGATTTGTGGGTAAATTCAAATTATTCCTTTCTCTCGTACTTTGGAGAAATGATGTATCTACTGTTTGGTTTTCATCCAAGAGCTGTTGAAAATTAAAATCTTAATCTAATAAATGTGTGCAATCTGACACCTTAATGTATTGTATCCTTTATTATTACTTTGCTCATAGATTTGCATTCATGCATTTGGGGAGTTCATTACGTGCCAATCTAGTTATTTAATTTTGTTTGCAAACATAAATTTCTATATTTCGTTGTGTTCTTTACTTTCAAAGACATTTGGATAGACTTCCCGAGTTGTCCCTCCCAAGGTCAGTCCAATAGGGAAGTGCATTTCTTCACTGACTTGATACTTTCATATGTTGGCACTCTGTATTTCCTGGATTCTCATCACAGTGTAAGGAAGAAATGGCTTCGGAGTCCTTCTATTACCTTACAGGGCCCTCTGAGATATGCACAGGGAAAAATTAGGGAAGGGTGCCAACAGCCTGTGTAGCATCATCTGTGACATCAGGTAATATGAGACATAGGGTTTTCTCATAACATTCACACCTCGGAGAGAGACTGATTATTGACCTCTTTAGATAGAAAGAGGAGACTCTAAGAGAGTTTGGAGCCTGCCGGAGTTTTAGAGCAAACCCCAGTATAATTAAAATTCATAAAGGAATGTTCTTTCTGGAACATTTTCTTGTGTTTTCAAATCTGCAACTCACAGTACCATCAGGCATGACTTGGCATTACTGCTTCTGTGGGGCAAGTGTGTGTCATGTATTTATCTACTGAACCTAGTTCATTAGTCTCATATAAACAATGCACAATGAAGTGTTAAAATGAATACAAATGTAGAATCAGGAACAACGTTTCAAGAGTCTTTGTGCTCTCCCTCCCTCCCTTAGTGATAGTGTCTACTATTGGTGAATTATCTTGTGTTCTGCTATTCCTTTAAGGTTTTTGTTCGTTTGCTTAAGTGTAAATATAGAATACTGTTTCATTTTATGGGAAATGATTTAAAACAAATGAAAAGTCATATACAAAGTTCATTCATAAACCATTATTAAGCAGTCACTATCTCTTAATTAGTTTCTTCAGTGTGAGTTTCCTCCAGTGTTTTCTTTTATGGTATTCATCTGCCAACTTTCCCAAAATTCAGCCTCCTTCCTTGGCCATCAACTTGTGTCCTTAAGAAAATATCCAAGAGGAAACTGTGCTTCCAAATCTGTGGTCTTACCACTGAAGTATGACCAACCCACCAGGGACTACAAAACAAACAAACAAACAAACTGGCCCCCCCTTTTTCCATAGCTAACAATTGCCCATCAATTCTTGGCTGGGATAATACTGTGCGTCTATCCCTCTCCTCCATGCCTTGATTTCTTCCGGCTTAGTCAGGTTTTGTGCTTTCTATTTAATCAACCTTATTTTTTAACTTTAATTCTTTATTTTCAAATATTTAGTTTATATTAAATAATACATAATTGCATATTTAAATATTTATATAATTGTAAATACATATTTATAACACACCCACCATATATATAATTTGTGTCTTTGTAGGTATGTGCAGATGAGCTCAGGTACCTACACAGTCAGAGGGGTCTGATGTCCCTGGAGTTATGGGCAGTTATGAGCCTTCAGATGTGGGTGGTGGGAACTGAACTAGAAAGTGAAGAAGTAGTACCTTCTATTAACCACTGCGGCATCTCTCCAGACCCACTATTCTGACTCCATTGACACACACACTATGCGCCTTCAATAAAATTACGTGTTTAACTTTTCATACAGTTGAGGATAGCAGGTACCATCATGAGCATGTCATCCAGTTATTGTACAAGTTAATGCTCATAGTAAACCTCTTCTGGTAATATAAATGCAACTCTTTTTTTATAATAAAATTGTATTATTTTTAACTAATTGCCTTAGAAAAGAATTACTTTGCAAAATTTACAATTCTAGATACTGTTCCAAACAATAAAGTAAGTAGCTGTGTATGTAAAGGTATGAGGCACGCCCACACCACAAAGTGATTATGTGTTCAGATGCAGCATAAATTCATGCCCATAGTGCATGCACACCTAACTTTCCCACTACCTCCACCTACTGGTGTGTAGTGGGTAATACCGCATCATGCTGGGCTCAGGCCTGCTCATAACACTCAAACTTAGGAAAGGAAAAAGAAAGACCCAACTCCATGTAGGTCATCTAACTGTGTACATTGTCCTGAATATTATAATAATTTCTCACATGGTGCTCCTTCTTCGTGCTGTCTTGGTCTATTTTGTTTGAAGAATGTTTTTAAAATGGAAGACTTCTCTTGTCCTAGATGCAACAAAAAATATTTAGCTTTCTCCATCATTCTTGAGCCCCATGAGATGGACCCATGGCAAAAAATAGATTAATAGTTCCCTTGACCTGACTAAATTACTGCTGGTTACTAGTAAAGGGGAAATTGTGAGACAATTATCAAGTGAAACTGGGTGCTAAGGCAAAACTGGATTAAAACCAACATCTGGTGAGCCTGCGGGATGAATTGTCCCCACCTTTGATAAAAATTTCCATAACTGAGTGACTTAGTCAATTACTCAAGTACAATACTCCAGGTCTATGCCAGGTCAGACCCTGAAACAAAGGAATATTGTACAGGTTGTTAATACTTTTCTGTAACTATGACTTTTCACCAAGCCAGGACATCACCAAAATATATAATCAATATACGAACATTGTCGGCCATAATTGCTAGCAACTGTACGTATTAGAAATTTCATTTAATAATTTTATCTGGCAGTCAAGGTGGGGGGAGTGAACCCCATTTTCATTCTAACTCATGATCATTTAAGTTCTTACCTTTCTCCAAGTTTGCATGTATTTTAGAATGTATGTTATAAGAATAATCTCTTTCCAAATATTATATGGCCTAGTATTCCCTCCAAATTACAAGTATTTTGCATGAAATATTGCTTTGTAATTCCATGTGTAGCAGAAAAAAATCAGTTATAATCCTGTCATTCTAATAATTTGTTTTCTTCATTTCACTGTGTGAAAGTATTGACAGATGGAGAAATCAGAAAAGTTGAAAACATCTGCAAATACAAAAGGGTAAGTTTACTTTTTAAAATTAAAATGGCAAGTGCGAGATACAGAAAAATCTCAGAGAGATATTTTGAAGTCATTTTGAAGACAAGAAGACGAAAGTAATAATGGTATTCACGAGATATAACGATGTCCAGTCACCTATTTTTATTTAAACTTACAAATTGCCCCTTTGTAAAGTTAATGCATTGACAGTCTGAGAAATAACTAAGATATACGTGAAGAAAGAATTATGTTTGGTTTTTGTATGTCTATCTAATGGTAAGAAAACCATTTAGCATCTTTCTCCCCTGAAATACATGTTCCAATTACGGGGACCCATAAAGAGTGAGTAGAAGTCACATTCCTAGACTAACATAGGAGATTAAAAGACAGTGTGGCTCTTAACACAGTAGGTAGCAGGTATCTTTTACATTTCTGATTTCCCCAATGTAAGATCAGAAGAAGCCGTTTCCGCAGGTTGGCTGGTAAGAAACAGACTGGCAGCTTTTAGTAGAGAAGCAAGTTGGGCGGTAAAAGCTGGACCCACGATTTAGGGATGAGTAAGTGCGAGTACCACATCCCACGGACTGGAAACCACGGGATCCAAAGCTCAGGGTTGGGTAGCCACAACCAAAAGACTGGAAGCCCCTGGAACCAAAGCCCAGAGATCCTGAGAATGTTGACTGGCAAGGTCTGTAGGAGACTGGAATCCTCTGGCTGTAGCAAGGCCTCTGGCAGGGACTGGACGCCACATAGGATGTCTGGAAGCTGGTGGGATCACAGAAGGTTTCCTGACACCCGTTGTGGAGAGAGGAGCCCAGCTGGTGGGTGATGGGAGTTTGGAGGTCAGTGCTGTAGAAGACATTGTTGGGGTAGGAGGAACCACAAGAAGAGACAGGGTATTGCAGTTGGCCCCCAAAGGACAGGGAGGAGAAGTTTCCGGAGCAGCTGTTGCAGGACATGATGAGAGGAGAGAAGGATGTTCAATGACCACGCTTGGACACACGACATTTATATACTCCTGTCCTCGGGTGCGTCATCTCCATCGCGCATGCACACACGTTAGTTACCTGCGGCTGTAATTGAATTGAAAATACCATCATAGTCACGCATATTTACTTTTCGTGTGGTTTCACAACTGGGTAGAGCAGTGATGACTGTGGCCCAGGAATTCAGGTAATAGTGTTCAATCTTCAAAGCTATTATTCATCCTCCATCAGCAAAAGGTCACCCTGCACATCACTCAGAAAGCCGCTTTGGAGGTAGGCTGTCGGGGCTGAGGGAAGCTAGCTTAATTAAAAATAATTGATGCCCGTTGCACAATCTGTCCAAAAATTGTTGCCATCTGGCTAGCAAACTTGTTCGAGGATCTACTCATAGTCATTTCTTTTAAACAAAAACGCACACTGATTGCTGCCTCAAAATGGCAAGCTTCTGTGATGAATGGTGTCATCCAAATGCTGGTGTGCAAGATGTATGAGGACTTAAAAAAATAATTGGACCTCAGTTTGAATGGCTTTACTGAAATACGGAGAGATCCCTTTCTCATGTCATGCATCTGCCTAAAAATGGAAATCAGATATTTAATGCCAGTCTTAACTTTTATTTGTGTGTGTATTGGTGGGTGGATGTGGAGTGTGGTGGTGGGGGGTTAACTGTGCTATGAGCTAAATACTTTATGCTTTGTTATCGTTTGAATGCTAAAAAATTATTCACCTAAGGTGATAAAATGCATGAAAAGGAACAAATCTTGAGGTAATGATGTTTGATATATTTCTCTCTCTAATCACGGTCGTTATTTCCCACTGAAAATGGTCCCGATAACCTGGTATAAACATGCTCCATCTAAGGAAAGCTTATAAAGCAATTGCCTTGAGGTGTCAGGCCAAAGGAGCCATAGCCAGGAGATGCTTCCTCTGCCCAGAAGGCTGCATATATCACTTTGACTTAAATTGTTTTCAGGTGTTCCTGACAAGTATTGCAAAATGTCCAAAGCGAGGGTCATATTTCCTCGATTTCCATGGCTGGTGTTCCACCTCAGTGCAAGAGTCTAATGAAGACTGATGTCTGGAGGAGGAGAAAGTGCAGAGGGCTATATTGGTGTGCCTTAGGTGCTGTTTGATTTGTTTCATATTATAGCACATTTCCTTCTGGTTCTGAACAATACAGAATTTTTTTTTTGATAACAAAATCATTTGTTTTTCTTCTGCCTGCCTCTTTTTCTCCTTCTTCTTCCTCCTCCTTCTCTTCGTCTTCATTTTGTGAATTAAAAAGTTTAGACTCATAAAGTCTAGAATTTGGGGAAGATTTTCACAAATGTCTCCACTTTTTTTTTTTTTTTTTAAATCAGATTACAATTCTATTCACAGCAACCTGATTCAACATTCCCAGAACTCTCAGGATAGAGGAACAGGCTCCTTTTAGATTTGTTCTTAAAAATTAGACCAGGTAATCAGAATTCTTCATGAAATTAGTCTCAGCTCATTTTCAATGTATAATTTATGCTGAGAATGAATGACATACAGAGTTTTTCCATTTCCGTGAGTTTATTTAGACAATTTCCTATACCAATGTACCATCTATGCAGATAGTGTTGCTGCACCTATTAGAAAAGTAGAGAAAAATTCCAAGACTTAGCTTTGTAGGATGACCATGTAAATTAATCAACACACATTATCGACCCCCAAATAATTTCTTCTCCAACTCACATTCTCATCCCTTTCGGTACTCTTTCCTACCCACATTTCAATATAGAACGGTCACGTGTGTAACCACGAGTTCTTCAAATTATTAATCCTTTTGTGACATCTGCATGTGACAGATACTCTCCACATTTCTTAATTAATTTTTTTTTTTTTTGCAATAAAAACCCTGCCACCTGAAAGGAAAACGTGGATGGCCACAAAATAATGTTTAGGTCTTGCTATTTTGTTGCCTGCCAGTGACCCCAGAATTGCCAAGAGGGGAGAGATGTCAAGAGGGTATTTTGATAATCAATCTAGTTAAATTTATTAATGACTTCCCTCATGAAACAGTGAAGGTGTGGGCAACACTGGGTCCAATTTAAATAAAAAAAAAAAAATGAAATGGATGACAGCATATCCCAGTGTGTTAGGGCTTACATGTAGCTCTGAATGTGTTACCTAGAAGGAACGAACAGAAACGAGGGAAGAAGAAAACAATAGAAATGGAAGGCAAGACAACAAAGGGATTCTGTTTCTGTGACAAATATTTTACAATATAATTGGCACTCATGCCATCATCGGTCCTCTCAACCTTATGCAATCACATGCACAAACGCAAGTTGACACAGCGTGTGATAAACAATGTTGGCCTTGAATTTCTTTCCTCCTGAGGGTTAGTATGGTATTATTCCTTTAATAACGTCCACAACGTTTGCAAGAAGAAATGTAAAATGGCCATATATTTATTTTGTTTTCAGTCAAGTCTCTAAACTTGGAGTACCATAGTTCTCTTTCTAGAATACAAACTTTGGTAGGGTGTTGAACCCTGCAGGATTATTGTATCACCCATTTGATCACATCTTGAAGGTGGGATTAAGTAAAGCATCTATCTCAAAGACTTAATTATGTTGGCCTTCATTGAACTTGCTGTAGGTATTGAGAAATTGCATTTTTGCTTCATGAGTAATTGCTTTGAAAACTAATGAAATTCCTTCGTTTAGAAGTCCACCTTCATGAAAAGGCCTTTGAAGGTTAGAGTATTTCATTTTTTACTGGAGCCTAATTAGGCATTCTCATTAAAATGGACACAGACTGCTACACCCATCTCTCTGGTATATAAGGACCTGTGTTAGATGGTGGTACACACACTTGCAGATTCATCACCACAACCCAACTGCAACCAGAACTCCTGACAACATGTCTTACATTTGCAACTCTGGGAACTTCTCCTCACAGTCTTTCGGAGGTTTCTTGAGGCAGCCAGTCTCCACCTATGGCTCTTTCTACCCCACCAACAACGTAGTGTATTCTCCAAAGAATTTCCAGCTGGGCTCCTCTTTCTATGGACAGCAGGAGACCTTCGAGGAACCACTTGAAGGCTACTCACCATGTGTCGGAAACAGATACTACCAGACATCCAGCTTCCGGCCCAAGCAGTATTTCTCCAGCCCCTGCCAGGGAGGCTTTACTGGATCTTTTGGATATGGCAATTCAGGCTTTGGATCTTTTGGGTATGGAAGCTCTGGCATTCGCTCCCAGGTCTATGGATCCAGCTTCCACCGCCCAGGATTGTTTTCTTCCAAGAGCATCCAGTCATCTTATTACCAGCCAGGCTTTAGCTCTCGCTTTTGTGGATCAGCTTTCTGAACATCCCAGCTGTCTCATGATGATTTCTGCACCTTAAGGAATTCAAACAGTTTCTCCAACATCTAGGATTGAGCCATGAACATTTGTCTCTCTCAGACTCAGCATCATAATCTACCTGGAAGCAGATGATTTTCTGAAGACAGAGTAACTTTGACCTTTGACTTTTCAACTCTACTGTAAGAGAGAACTTATATTTTAATTATTATGTAAATTCTTGGGTCTCTTACCATCCATCCCTCTAAATGTCTTCTCTCATTATTTCCTTAAGATTCCCCTACTCAAGTTTATTTTAAATAAACTTACATCTCTAGCATTAATTTTGGCATTCCAGTTTGGTTTTTTGTTTCATAAATGACACGTTCATTCATTGCATCTGATACTTTAACAGTTTTCAGATTTCCCCCCTCTGTTTTACTGACACTTTTTTTTGATAGAAAATCAGAAACATTGGAAGGAAATAAGTATAAGTGTTTTATGTCATCTTTCATATTTTGAAGGGTTTATATCAGCTCATGGGCATATTTGTTCATGTAAGTACTTCAGACATTTTGTTTTCAGTGGGGCATTCAATGGAAAGCAATTATTGAGTTAATATTACACACCAAAGACTGTGATGAACAGAGGTGTAAGTTCTCTTATTTAAAGATGTACAATTCTAGCTTGACATCATGTGACAAGTCAATAATGGAGATGAAAATATAACATTCAGAAGAAACACTAAGAAGGACTTCACAAAGAGGCACAGATTGTCATGTGAACTCATCATTAAAAGCAGAAAGAATTAGTTATTTAGTTAGTGTGTTCATTAATTACTTCATTTAAATCAAAAGAATCTTCCAGATGTGTCCATTAAAGAGCTACTGGCACAGAGGGTTAGAGAAGGAAGGATTTGTCATTGGAATGTACCAGTGAGGGAAATGGCAAGGTATCTGAAAGGTATGTCTGAGCTCAGTGAAGGACAGAGGGACGGAAAGATGCTTAGATCAAAGACCCCTTTCCTTGAGAAGAAAGGGTATTAGAAATTGAGGCCAGTTTGTTGCACATACCAAGCCATTGGCATATAAGCAAGATACTGTTGAGTTTTAAGATAATTTCACTTTGCATAAGGTATTGAAAAATTGCCTAGACTATCTTTGAACTTGAAATTCTCCCACCTTAGCCTCCTGAGTAACTGAAACTACTACCACCATACCTTGATTTTTAGAGGAGAAAATGAAACCCTCCAAAATTTTCTTGGCCATTTAGCCATGTAAGGACACCTACAACTAATGAAAAAAAGTTTGTCTTATTGCTACTGCCAAGTTTATTCACTAGCAAGTAAAAAACAGCAAGACCTTGCAAAGAATGGTGTGGTAGATATATCCACTAACTCACTGATGGTCCTGTCAACCAGTAATACTACCTCAAGTAGGAAATATGAAGACTGCCATTTCATAGCATTCACAATTAAGTGTTTATTCTGTTTTAAGTAAAGAAAAAATTCACTGATAAACCATAGTGAAATGATAAACAATGATGGTATGATTTTCCATGAGTTACCTTAAGCAGAATTTGTTTCATAAAATCAGTCACATGTCAAGTCATCTATAGGACTCATTAGATGAAGCTCCAATTATTTAACTGAGTATGAGATAGGACTGAAAA